CATTTTCATTTCAATATAAGTACAGTTTCATTCGATATTATAACACTCAAATATGTGAAAATGTTATTTAATTTTATTTTATATACACCATAGTTTCATTAAAACACAACTACATGATCATTTCGATATAACTACAGCTTCATTGCATAATATACACTCAAAATATGTGAAATATTATTCAGTTTCATTTTATATACACTGCAGTTTCATTTCAACACAATTACGATATCATTTTGATATAACTACAATTTCGCTGGGTAATATACACTCAAATATGTGAAACTGTAATTCAGTTTCATTTTGTATACATTGTAGTGTCATTTCAACACAACTACAGTTTCATTTCATTTCAATTGCAATTTCACTTGATAATATAAAAATAATACGTGAGGCAGTGTCAGTTTAGATACACTGTAGTTTCAGTTAATAATTAATACATTAAACATGCACGCTCTGTTAACTATAACGACGCGTCGTTTCTTTACTTAAAGAAACTGCACCGTTTTTAGACAGCGACCATAATTGCTGTTATTTGTACCTTATCCCTATAATTTATTGCATAAGTATAAATTGAAGTGGATTTCAACATATTGAGGCGTAAGTTATGGTTTACCTCAACCAAAGCATTCCTAAATAGTCAAACTAGGCTTAGTTCACATGATCACATAAGCGCACTAGATCAGAAGGGATTTTTATAATATTATGTCTTATTAAATTAAATAAAAATATTATTATAAAAAGAAATACAGTTATTCAAAAATATAAGATAACATTAAATTATAATATTGTTAGATGCGGTAAAATTCATTACAAAATATATAGATTAATCCCCGGTTTAGTTGAAAGCCAACCAATAAATAATTGTATTAATAAAGCAAAGCTGCAATAGGATCGGGGGGATTGAATTCCACAACAAAAAAAAAAAAAAAAAAAAAAAAAATCCCCGGTTTAGTATAGCTTAACGTTACACCAATTCATGGGATGGATGTGGAGTGATGATTTTTCTTTTTACACATTAATTTCTTTTAGAGTTTAAAGTATATTTATTTTATTTAAGAAAATTATTATTATTATTATTATTATTATTATTATTATTATTGTTATTATACTTTTTTTTTTATAATTCATATTTTTCGACTTTGTCAGACTATATCTCATAGTTGTTGTTGTTATTATTATTATTATTATTATTATTATTATTATTATTATTATTATTGTTGTTGTTGTTGTTGTTGTTGTTGTTGTTGTTATATATAAAGCAATACAGTTTGAACTTCAAATATTTATTTGATTTAGATTATAAAATTATATTCCTCATTGCTCATTTTTAAATGTTTTGTTCTCTCTGAATTCCCCTTCAAATGGCTTCAATGTTTCCCCTTCTTATGTGGTTTACATTTCATAAATTGATTGACCTTACCATTAGTTAAATAAAAATAGTTGTCCAATAAGATAATGTTACGTCAAAAGGGAAATATTTAATGAGAAATATAAGAGATGTGTAGCATTACTCTTATTTAAAATTTTAAATGAATGGGATTTCAAAAAAATCTGATAAAAAATATGAGTAATACTATATTTTCATAATTTATTTTCCAACATTTTTCACCTCCTAACTTAACATCATTTGAATGGTTTAACTTTCTCTTTAAAAAAATAATAATTAATGGTTGGTTAGCATATTCATGGTCTGTCATACTAGAAAAAAAAATACTTTTTTGATTACTACCGATTTCTCAATCTATTGAAGCACAAAGAATTAATACCGTCCCACTAGGACTCAAACTCATGACTTCCTATTTGGAAAAGTTACTTTATGTCACTGGACCACAAAGTCATTGAGAAAGATAAATTGAGTGCATATAACATTTTACTTAAAGTAATGTGAAAATGTGATAGAGTGAATATTATTTAGTAGTGGTGTAAAAAATTTGATAGATATTATAATAGTATATCATTATGGTATTCTTCATGACTTTAAAAAAGCATAGAAAAAGCAAAAGCTAAATTAACACATTCCAAAGTTAACAGTAGTAATTATAAAAGGGTTGGATATATGCATATAGAGAGTGATATATAGGCAAGAAATAGTGAGAAATCCAGCCTAACCCAACCCCATAAATAAAGTTTACTACTTCAATCCCATTCCACAACTGTCAACTGATAATCATTTAAACACAACAATCCAAATTTTACTTTAATTATTTATCCCACCATTTTGAACATCTCCTTGGCCCCATCTATTCTCACCATTTTTAATTTGTAATCTAAAAAAGAGAACAATCCATTTTTTTGCTTTATTTATTTTTCCCACCGTTTTAAGCACCTCCTTGCCCTCTTCTCTCTCTCCCTCTTCAAATATTTATTCATTTTTTTTAATTTTATTTTTTTCAATGTTGTAGTTAAAAAATAGACTTAAATTTTACTCCTAACTTTTATCTCCTCTCATACATATTGGATGAGAAAATTTCAATTTTGGTCCACTGACTATTAGAGTTGTGTTAATTGTAACAATTGACTTTCAAAAATCTTAATTTAGTACCTTGACTATGCAATTTCTATCAATTTTGGTCATGCCAGCCAAATTTCCGATCAAATCTCACCGGAAAAATTTAATAGGTCAAATAATGAGGGTATTTTAGTCATTTTACTCACCACCCCTTTTTTCTCCGATGAGCCTCTCTCATTTCCAGCGAAGAAAAACAACCTTGATTTAAAAACTCAACACATAGTATAAAGAGAGGTTGAAACAATAATTATATCCTAAAGCTCACTTCCATATATATAGATTATATTCAATCAAACAACACATGGAGCTTCAGAAGTTGCAGAAGTATATATGATCATTAACGCCAGCAGGAAAAAAGCTTAATTAAATTAGTATTTTTGATCGATCTTCACCTCTATTCTACAGCATTATATTCATCATCTGAATCTGGGACTTCTGACTTCATTCAAATCGAATCCAAGCCTATTATTAATTCTATTGTCGCCGCCACTATTTATGTCCTCATCTGCGGCCGCGGCTTCCCGGCCATGACCTCCGGCGAGTCTTGCAGCGGCGGCGGCCCTATTTCTGCAATGTCGCTTGTGCCCACCCAGCGCCTTCCCACCCCGGAAAACCATTTCGCAATTGTAAGGGCACTTGAACGCCATCCTCTTCTCCGCTTCCGATTCTGCCTCTTCTTCTTCTTTTGAATCTTCGTTAACGTCATAATCTTCATCGTCGTGATCATCCTCAGACGAAGAAGAAGAAGAAGATTCATCGACTTTACTGGGGAGCATTTTCCGAGCTGCTTTAGTGTGATGGCGGCTATGGATGCCCAATGAACGATGGCTCTGGAAATAAACGCCGCAAATGCTGCAAAAATACCTCTCCGTCGCCGGAAATGGGGTTTTTAAATCAAGGTTGTTGGTCACCGGAAATGGAGAGGGTTCATCGGAGAAGAAAGGGGTGGTGAGTAAAATGACTAAAATACCCTCATTATTTGACATATTAAATTTTTCCGGTGAGATTTGGCTGGCAATTTGGTCGGCGTGACCAAAATTGATAGAAATTGAATAATCAAGGTACTAAATTAATATTTTTGAAAGTCAAGTGTTGCAATTAACACAACTCCAACGGTCAGTGGACCAAAATTGAAATTTTCTCATATTGGATGTAGACAACTTTTCCTGGACTCACAAGGTGAAAATATCCTATCCATGTTTGCCATATCATGGAGTAGAAATTGATAGTCCGCATAGTAAAACTAGTAAAAAAAATACTGTATTTGACAAATAAAAAATAGAAAAATACTACTTCTACTCCTAATTTTTACTGTCTCTCACAAAATTTTGATGTTGATATTTTCATTGGGACCCATATGGTGAAGATAACTAATCATCAATTGTCATTTGTCACATAGAGTCAAAGTAAGAGAGTAGAAATATAGAGTATATGTAATAGAAACAGTACGTGTTGAATTACTTACCTAAGTTATGAATAAAATAATGTTATTTTCTCATTCCGATTTTACCTTCTAATGTTTATTTTTTGGCGTGACAATAAAATTCTTTTATTCATTAGTTATCATAAATTGATCTACCCCAGTAAATGATGTAAAATAAGAAGGAAAATATATCATTATTGATTATTGTATGAAAATTTTGAAATATTGTCCTACCATTTTTTATATTTATTTTTTATGTATCATAATGCAGAATTTTCATTGTTTTTTTTTTTTATAAAAAAAAATTCATTCACTTAGTGCTTTAATTGCTTATAATGCTAACAAAATTAAACATAATGGATAGAATAGATAAAAAAAAAAAAGTTACTTCTTTGGTACAACATATAAAGGGATTATAGGTTCAAAAACTTTAACTTAATTTCACTTGAAAACTTTTGAAACGTTAATTATTTTAGTTCCTAACTATTAATTTAATTAATTTACGTTATTAGGCTATAATAATAATAGTATCAAATGTAATTTTCAATAATCCGCTCGGTTGGTGTGAGTGACTATACACTCTTATCCTTTAAGAGAGATTAAGAGTTCAAATCCTCTGTTGTCTGAAAAAAATCATTATTATTATTATTTTGTATTTGATGCAAATTACCAAATTTTTTTATCAATTCATCTGACAACTCTAGTCAAAATTTTTCACATAATAATCATATAAGGTATCTAAATGTAAGTAATATACAGACGATATAATGAAATATAATAGTATTGATAACCAAAATATTGATAAGATCAATCGAGATTGATACAAAAATTATTTGGAAGAATCAAATTTGACGAAAATTTAATAATCGTGAATCTAATATGAATAAATCAAGAATCAAATATAATGTGAAACATGTGGATGGATAAAAATTGAAAAAGAAACTCAAAAAGGATTTTAGATTTGATTTTTTACATAATTATTAAACATATAAATTTCATTTATTAAATATATATATATATATATATTTTTGTGTGTTAATAAATGCATAAAATTGGGATTGAGGAAAGTATGTTTTCCAAGTCACGGATGTCCAGTCCATCTCCTCTCATTTCATCCAGAATTTCAACTCTCTCTCTTCTCTCTCTCTCTCTTCTCCCCAGTGCATACAAACATGGCCATGGCGGTTTCAGACACCTCCACAGCTAACAGATACAGGAGAGCAAGAAACCCGAAACAGAACCAACCCAGTGCTGACACAGATCCAAATCCCGAAGCCGTCCACTCCACGCGCTCCAAATCCACCATTTCCGCCATTCTTCTTGCCCCATTTTCCCCCACCAGCCCCACCCATGACCCCCCCTCCACCCTCACCCCCAAAAAGAAGAACTTTACCACATTCAGGGGACTGGGCTGCGCCGCGCCGCCGCAGGTGTCGGTTCCGGCGGTGATTAGGACCTCCGCCGACTGGGATTCCAAGAAAGTGAGGAAGAAAAAGCTGCGGAGCAAGAAGAGCAAGCCCATCATCAATTGTGCGGTTCCGGTTATTAACACTAACAACAATGGCGGCTCTTCTGCTCTGTCGTCGAGCTGTGTGGCTGTCCCTGATGTTTGGTGCGCTCCTGGAATTGGGCTCACCACTGACGCCGCCTCTGTTGATTGTGTTGTTTCAAGAAGGCCCGTCACGGGGAGAGGGAGAGTTGATAGCGATAGACTTCCTTCAAGAGAGGTTACTAATTACTATCCAATTTCTCTTTGAATCTGTTTCTCTTGTTCTATCCTGGTTAAATTTTGAAAGTTGAAGGACAATGGGTCATGGGTCGAATGGTAACAATTTGAAAGTGGAAAGACCAAAGTTTAGGACTAAACGTGGTGGCATTAACTCTAATAAATATTAGTTAGTTTGATATAACTAGAATACTAAATGTAGTGTTATATGGCTGATTGAATGCTTCTCTCATTACAAAAGAGGCTTTGTATGTGTAATATTGTTAAGCCATTAATGTGCAATCCAACTATCAGCTTAAACTTTTAGTTGAGATGTAGCACATGTTTCAATTTGGCCAGACCAAAGGTCATGGTCTTATGCTTTTAGTTGAGATGGAGCACAATTAAACATCATCAATGGCTTTAGACATAGAGGTCAACTCATTTACGAACTTATTCATTTTACAGAGATCTGGATATACTGTTAGGAGAATGGTGATCCCAGAGGACAATCCATTTCTTGAAATTGACTCGGACTTGGAATTGCCCAGGTCTCGTGTGGATCATTTCGTGTCCCGCCATCACCGCCATTCTAGATATGGTTTTCCTGAAGGACTTGCTGAGGTTTGTTTATACTATAATCATCATCTTCGGTGTTCATCTTTATTTTGCTAAAGATCCTAGCTTTTTACCTATGCCAATAATGCAGTTTTCAATTCTAATATTCCTTTTAAATGTACTTTGTATGATGACTTGATGACCTACAAGATGGGGCGGGTTTCCGCTGTGGGTCTGCCCTTTTTACTGTGTTTTGATCTTGTCATCTTGTCGTCTATGGAGATTAATTAGTGGTTCTATTATGCTGTCATATAAAGCTAAATTATTAGTGCTTTGCATTGTTACTCGTAAATGTTGAATGCGTAAATGGTTATTTTTTTTTATTATGTTTGAGCATTTGATGTTTGATTATATTGTAGATTGTAATGCTGCAAAATAGTTTGATGGGAGGAAGATTGGATGGGCTTGATCGATACCGGGATTTGAGACTTGATGTTGATAGCATGTCATACGAGGTGAGTCGGTCAGTTTGCTTTAAGGATGATTCGATGAACATAGGATTGACTGTCTAGAACTATATCTTTGATGGATCTCAGCGCTTCACCCATCCTATGACTGCTATAAGTCAAGCCTTAACCACCCAGTTTTTTGGCTATTGGTTTTATGTAAGATATGACAACCAGATAGCTAAAGAACTTTGTGGTTAAGCGTGCTTTAGCAGTTACAGGAAGGATGGGTGATCCACTGGGAAGTAATCATAGTGCAGCACTGAGATCCCAATCTTTATACTTGACAATTCATAAGCTCGCATTGGTGATGGGAAACAGGAATTGTTGGAACTCGGAGATAGAATCGGACATGTGAACACCGGACTGAGAGAAGACGAGATAGCACGCTGTGTCCAGAAAACCGAGCTGCCTTTTTTAACCAATCGGCGGTCACACGTGCCAACGGAAATGGAAAAGAAATGCAGCGTATGCCAGGTCTGTCCGTCAAAATTCTGCCCCCGTACAACGATTTGTATTTCCTCGTTTTTTCATTCCACTTAATTGACTTAACGATATCAACGTAGGAGGAATACGAAGCTAATGACGAGATGGGGAGGCTCGAATGTGGACACTTGTACCACATCGACTGCATAAAGGAGTGGCTCCTACAGAAAAACGCCTGCCCGATTTGTAAATCTGCAGTGCGATCTCACACCAACGTCTAATATGGATCCCTTTCTAGATTTGTTAATCTGTACAGCTTTTATTCCAGTTGCAAGCGATGTTAATTAATTTTTGATATATCATCTTGATTCCTGGATGCTTGATGGCAACAATGGCCTTTTCTATTTTAATTTTATTATTTTATTTTATTTTATTCTCATTGCAGTTTGCTCATATTGTCTAGAACAAATTACCATTGTTCTTGGGTTGCTGTTCTTCTGTATAACCATATTTTTGTATCAGATAATGAAAAGGCCATGGTAATAGTTTCTTCTTCCTTGGTTTGTTCTTTTGTGAACAAAAATAGTAAAGAATTTTGTAGCCTTAAAAATTTGATTGACCAAAATCTGCCAAGATTTGTCAAATATTGATGCAAAAAATTTGTGATGTGGTGCTACGAAGTGTCCGAGTGCACGGCTACTCATGCCAATCAAGTTTGTTTGATGTGTTGTCATTTAAGTAGTGTAGAAATATATATATATATATATATATATATATATATATATATATATATATATATATTTTGGTTACAAATCCAAATTATCCGAGTTAGAAATTTATTGCGTTAAATAACCTAAACATCTTATGGGTTATATATGAAATAAAACGGATTGGGCATCCAAAATTTTAATTGAAATTCGTTTGGATTGTGAATACTCGTGCACTTGAACTCTCTAAACTCGTCCTTTATTCAGCCCTAAAAATAAAAGAATACAAGGGAAGGAAGGAAATGGAAATTTAGGAATAAGTTATTATTTTTTTTAAGTAGATTTTTAAAGTGTATTTCACTTGTGCTCCTAAAAGCATTTCCTTCTTAGAAAATGAGTTAGAGATTTTCTTAATTATAGTAATGGTAATGAAAAATTTTATAGTTTTCATCCGTGTTGTTGAGAGGAAATTATGTTTGAAAAGTAAAAAAGTATCTTAAAATTTTTTATTAGTAATATCAAGTGGGTTGTGTTGTGCTAGTTCAATTCATATTTTTAAATTAGTAATGTCAAGTGAGTTGTGTCGTGTTAGTTCAATTCATATTTTTAGATGATTGGGCATTTAACCTAACTCAATCTACTTAATTTATTACAACTTCAAATTTTAATAATTAAAAAAAAAAATAAATTATTTATGAGTTCTAATCAAGTTTTTTTTTTTTTTTTTTTTTTTTTTTTTTTTTTTTTTTTTTTTTTTTTTTACATAAGAGGGAAACGGTCAAACCTCAACAATTATTAGAGTCAAACAAAGGCAACCATCCTTTTGGCTTACTTCCTTGCTTGCTTTTCTATCCATGGCCGCCATCTGGATTTCCTTAAAGGGGATGTGAACTTACTATTTGCTGCATAGAATTCTCTCCGGGAAGCTGAGCCGCCGGAGCTTGTGATATTAGCACAGCAGTTGCGGGGGTTACAGTCTGGTATTGAGAAGGAAGTGGCGCCACCGCCGGACATTGAGCGGCGTAGTAGACTTGAGAAGCAGGAGCGGTAATGGGCTGCTGTAGTGAAGGAGGAACTTGAGAAAGACCCAAGTATTGTTGCGCCTGTAACTGATTTCCGGTCGGAACTTGAACCACCGTCGTCGGAGTCGGTGCAGCAGCGGCGGCGGCGGCTGGCCCGTACAAGGTAGTCGTGTTCGCTGCGCAAATGGGCGGAATGATGGTCACATTTGGCGGCGGCGCTGCAGCAGTATTGGCCGGGAAATTGTACGGCGGCGGAGATTGGGCGACGGGCAAGACATAGAGAGGAGGGTGTTGATCAAGTTGGTGAGGAAGCGGCGGCTGTTGTGGTGGTGGCGCATAGATGGGATAGTAAGAGAGGGGCAGGGGGTCGGGTGGTGTTGGGTGGTGAATATAGTGCGTGGGTGGAGGGTGAAGGAGGTGATGTTGGAGAGGATGATGCATCAGAAGTTGAGAGCTGAGATCCATTATTGCAGAAGGCCTACTTGTAGTTTCCCAGTTTGTAACAAGACTGGCATTACTGGCATCTTGATGGATTATATGCTTCCAAGAAGAAGATGCACTACTGCTTTCACTGCAACATATATTATAAATTACCTTATTACATAGATTATAGATTACCTTATTAACCAAATATTAGTGGTGTCAATTGGACCAACTATTCAATTTTGGACATGTTAGGACTGACTGGCTGCCTAGCGTATCACCCTAATCGGTGGTTTAGGAGGCGGCCTAACTTCCTAGGCAGTGTAGGCACTGATTAGGCTGTCACTGACTAGGTTACCTAGCCGGCTGATTAGCTATTGTTCTTTCTGTTTTAAATGGGTTATTTTACTCGAAACCACATCATTTTGAGTGAAATAACCCTAAATTGTTCAAACTCTAGATGAAGTGGAGCATATTACCTTGCTATAGAATCAGGTGTAGACTGGACATCCTGATTGGAAATGTTGACTACCAACCCTGAGTCTGCACAAGAATTATTATCCTTGAAGATGGAGATTCCGTGGAGACGATCTACCGTATTAATATCGATGGTAGGATCAGAAAAGGCTCTGGAGACCAACCCGGAGTCATTAATGGCGTCGACGAACCACTGCTCAGATTTGGCATCGGCAAGCAGACAACCTGCGGAGGCTGCAGTTTCAGGCTTGTCGGGAAACAGGAAAAACCGGAGACGAGGTCTCAGAGGGGAGGCTGCGGCGGCGTCGCCGGCAATCCTGTCGTATTCTTGAACCATGTTTTCCAAATCCTCGTCGTTGGCAATTGATACGAGCGAGTCAAGCTCCTCGTGTGGGAGCTGGTACTTGAGGGTGAAACGCCGCTGGCCGTTCAGGAGGGTGTGGGAGAGGTGGCGGCGCAGTTCCGCCAGGGAGACGCCGCGATCCACCGCCACAATGCGTTTCTCGCCGCCGACGTAGCTCAGGGATTTGTGGTGTGGGCGGGGAATGATATGCCCGCCGTAAAAGCACATGAAGCGCAGCTTCGCCGGCAGCGGATCGGAGCCTGGAGAGGTAGTGGTGGAATCCATTGATTCTGGGGATCGGATTTGGTTTACTGTGATCATAGACTGATACGTACTTTATATATGCATGGTTTCAAAACAAAAATAAAAATAAAAATGTGACAGCTATAATGTTGTAGTAATTACTCACTTAAGGTGGGGAGCAACTTGTTTATAAACTACTTCACACTCAAAGTAGAAATTAAAGCCAAATCTGGCAACAGCTAAATACCAGGTAGCACGAAGTTCAGTTTCTCAGTAATGTGAAACTCTTGGAATATACTTTCTTCGAATTAGTAATCATCTCAACCTTCCCGAATGTCAAAGACAATTATATTCAGCTTGTAATTAGGAAATTTGCTTCCTTACTCTCGGAAAAGGTTGAATCTCCAACCTCAAAGGTCCCTTACACTCCCTGACTCGACAAAACATTTGAGAGGATGTAAATTACGATGATCCAATGACTCAGCAGATATGATCAAATACTAGTGGGCACATGGAAATTTTGCTTTCTGATAGTACTCAATCTTACCTATTCTTCATTTCTCCCCTCTTTGCACCAATGCACTATTTTTTTTTCTTGTATATTTGAGAGTAATGTGAGTATAGTACACAATTGTAACGTGATAGACTGATTGTCTAACCAATAAGACATCATAATTTAACAATCAATCAATTACATTACATGGTAGATAGATGTGTACCCATCGGAGTAAATCTTGTTTAGTGATCATAGTCGGCAAAGGATTACTAATTAAACCAATTTATGTTGTCTGGACTCATCCATCCTTAACCAAAGGTCAAGGGTTCGATCATTGACTTTGGGAATGGAGCAACCTTAAATCTCCAGACCAGCTGTCCCACCCAAAAGAAGTGCCTGCAATTCAACGAGGGAATTAGTTACTGTCTCCAACAGTAGAAATCTTGAGTATACCTAAAAAAAAATTATATTGTGTATAACTTATCGGCTCAAACCAATAGAATACTTCCGCTGGAAGCTAAACTAGTAAACTTGATTGGCTACGGTTAGGAGCTGAGGGAATATAAAATTACTGGGGACACCAATTGTATTTATGAAAATGGATCCCATGATTTTAATTGAAAATAAGAGTTTTTTTTTTATTTTTTTAAACATCAATATTTGGTCAAACATGTTAAATTCGTACTAAAGCAACCTACGATGAAATCACCCACAGTAATGCTTAATTTTTCTTTAAAAAGCAATAAAGGAATAGATAAGAAGCAAATGACTAAATCTTAAGAAAGCTGAAAGCAAACTATGATAGAAAAAAGAAGGTTGCTTCAAATTGCAGCCACAGTACTTGGAAGCTTCAATGCACTGCTGTAAGATAGCCTCTTACACATTTTAATGTTTTATATCTAATTCCAAATTAAAACTCCAGGTTATTTGCCCCCAAGTCTTTCTCCTTCCCTTCCAGCCATCTTGGGACAAAGTATACCATGGACCAGGGTGTACGATGTATCTTAGATTGTGGATTCTAATATCAAATAACATTCAAATTATGTGTCTGCAGTTGACATATTCTATATCTATAGTTAACAGTTTATGTGCCTGTAAAAAAATTGAAGGCACATAACATGTTAACTATAAACACATAAAATGGTAACTACAAACACATAATATGTTTACTAAAAAACAAATAATCCCTGTTTGGTAAAATATTAGTCTATCAGTCAATTTTGGCTTATTTGACAACTATTAATTGTTTGACTTGGTTAAAATTCAACTCTAAAATGCTAAAATTCAAAAAGCTGCTCAAAGCAGCCTTTCCAATTAGCTTTTTGAGAAAAGAAATTATACCAAACAGCTAACAACTAACAACCAATTTACCAAACACCTTCGTACAATCAGCTAACATTATCAATTAGTTATATCGATCATCTAATCAACCCAATCAGCTAACCGCTAACAGCCATTTACCAAACAGGGCCAATATGTTAACAACTTATTATGTGTCTATAGTTAATATGTTATGTACCTTCCACTTATTTACATACACAAAAATTGTTAACTATAAGTACATAATATATCAAATGCAAACACATAATTTTTAAACCGGAATCTACAAAGCAAGATGGACCCTGGTCCTTGATATAACAATTGCGACAAATTATACCATGGATCAGGATCTACCTTGCATTGTAGACCCTAGGTCCAAAATAACCTTCATATTCTGTATGTATAGTTGACACATTCTATACCTGCAGTTGATAGTTTATGTACATGTAACTATCATATTATGTGTCAGCAATTATCAAGTTATTTGTTTATATGTACATAAACTGTTAACTATAGGTACAAAATGTGTTAACTGAAAGTACAGAATTTTTGTATCAGAATTTAGAATGCAATATGAACCTTGGTCCATTGTATAACAATTGAACAATTGCCATCTTGGGGCAAATTATGTTGTGCATCCGTGTGCACCATGCATGGTGCACATGGATGCAAAAACGGCGTCGTTTTACTTTTTAAAAAAAAAAAAATCATTTTCGATTGCCGTTAGTTATGTAAACATATATTCATAATTTTATAATTTCACATTATGAATGTATAGTTATGAAGTTAATGGATGTGTAGTTATACAATTCTGATGTATAGTTATGAAGTTATGGATGTGTAGTTATGCAATTCTGAATGTATAGTTATGAAGTTATGGATGTGTAGTTATGCAATTCCGAATGTATAGTTATGAAGTTATGGATGTGTAGTTATGCAATTCTGAATGTATAGTTATGAAGTTATGGATGTATAGTTCAAATTGTGCACAACATAACGCCGTTAACGGCAATCGAAACTGATTTTTTTTTTTTTTTTTTAATTTTAGGTTGGACGTCAAAATGACGTCGTTTTTGCAACCGTGTGCACACGGTTGCACAACATAACTACTCCCAGTTGTTATATCGTGCACCGCGGTGCATAATCGATTATGCACCGCGCGTCAAAACGGCGCCGTTTCTGCAGTTATAACGGAGTGACACTACAATGTGTCTAAACCGACACTGTCTCACGTATTATTTTTATATTATCAAATGAAACTGCAGTTATATCAAAATGATACTGTAGTTGTGGTGAAATAAAAGTACAATATATATAAAATGAAACTGAATAACATTTCACATATTTGAGTGTATATTGTACAATGAAGCTGTAATTATATTGAAATGATTATGTAGTTGTGTTTTAATGAAACTATAGTGTATATAGAATAAAAAATTAAATAACATTTTCACATATTTGAGTGTATAAATATTGAATGAAACTGTAGTTATATCGAAATGAAACTGTAGTTTTGTTGAACTGAAACTGTAGTGTATACAAAATGAAACTGAAGAACAATTTTTTTTTTTGCGAAGATTGTTTCTTGTCATTAAATAAAACAACGTCGTTTTGATGCGTGGTGCATAATTGATTATGCACCGCGGTGCACCATATAATTTGCCAACTACTCCCGCAAATTATGCCCTAGACCAGTGTCCACAATGCATTGTGGACATGAGTCCAAAACGACGTCGTTTTCAGGGAAAACGCGTCATTCTAGTTTAAAAAAAATTGATTTTGTTTCGCCGTTAACGGTGTTATTTGTTTGTGCCATTATGAATGTACAGTTATGGGATTATGAATGTCCAGTTATGGAATTATGAATGTACAGTTATGGAATTATGAATGTAAGTTATAAAATTATGAACACAGAGCCCTGACATGTTGAACTTACAATTATGAACATATAGTGATAAAATTATGAACATAGAGCTCTAAAATTGTGAACATGGAGCTTCGAAAATTACGAATTTACAGTTATTGAATTATGAATGTACAGTTATGGAATTATGAATGTACATTTATGCAATTATGAATGTACAGTTATGCATTATGAATGTACAGTTATGGAATTATGAACACAGAGCTCTGACATTATGAACTTACAATATGAACATATAGTGATAAAATTATGAACATAGAGCTCTAAAATTATGAACATAGAGCTATAAAATTGTGAACATAGAGTTTCTAAAATTATGAATTTACAGTTATTGAATTATGAATGTACAGTTACGGAATTATGAATGTACAGTTATGCAATTATGAACACAGAGCTCTGACATTATGAACTTACAATTATGAACATATAGTGATAAAATTATGAACATATACTCCTATAACAAAGTGATCTGAAATTTAAAAAAAAAAAAAAAAGAAGTGAAAGAGAACGATGTCACTAACGGCACCGTTGTGTCCAGCATGCATGCTGGACACGGGTCCATAGCATAACGATTGAACTACTCCCATCTAGGCCTCCCTATCCTTGGTTCCGCCCAACAAGTATTAAAATAATAGAGTTATTCTACACAAAATATAATTTTAGTCTAACATGTCAAATAATAATTAATTTTGTCGCATAATGTGGTCTCTTTGATTAGATAGTTACTCAATCACATATTCACAACTAATATATCACCTTACAATTTACATACCTACCTTGAATAGGGAATTTTTGGTGACTTTTGTCAATCTTCAAGAATTTTAGGTAACATTTTGACAACCATACATCATACATGGACAAAAGAATGATAGTAATTTTCATGTCTCCTTTGTTGCTGGACAAAAGAGATCGAGCCTGTCTTCCTTCATCTCGATCTGGCTATCATAATACCTATTAAGGGTTGTCGTCATGGCAACCAAATAAATAATTTTTTCTTTTCTTTTTTTTTTTTGGTGTCAACCACGAGGTGGAACGAGTTTTTCTCTGTCCGTTTAACGGTTCAGGTCCACCCGACTAATTCTCGTTCACTCCGAAAGACACGGGAGCTAGCCCAAAACAAATCGTCACTCGGGGAAATCAAATTCGGGTTATCCCGAAACTCCCCACAAAGAGAGCTCATTTGCCACTTGAACTATCCTATTGGGTTATAAATAATATTTCTAATTTGCAAGGAGGATAGGGTTTCCTTTATCTAGGATAGTCAGACTTTATATAACTGTTATGATAGTCAGTCATAATTTTTCCAATAA